CCCCATTTCTGGTATGAAATTTAAATATAGTATTTTTCCCTCCTTATGAGGAACTCGACGATTCAGTAGCCCGACTCGACGAGTAGAGACGGGATTTGCACGCGTTTTTAGTGGGCGACTCGACGAGTCCTTTTCCCTAACTTGGGGAGTCCGCCAGTCTGGATGACACCCTAAATCCCAGGGATTGTACCCTATTTAAACGTCATTATAGCCTCCCACCCCAGCCTCCAGCACCTTTAGAGCATTTCTCTTTAAAACCCTAGTCCCCATTGTTGAGCTTGAGTGTTTTGTGATAACTTGAGAGTTGTAGAAGAGAAGGAAGGAAAGAAGATCAATAGAAGAGAAAGGAGATCCAAGAGCTAGCTTCCATCTGCTTCATATTCTGGTAATAAAGTTATTACCTTGCTTATTCTTCCATTAAACCCTCTTTTATGCTTGTTTATGTCTCTTTTGGGGCTTTATATGATTCAAACTCGAGATTTGAGCTCTCCTTAGGATGGAAACCATAGATCTGGATGTTATTGAGCTCTAGGAGCTCAATGTAGCTACCTTTATGCAGATATAGCCTTGTTCCAAACCCTAAGTGCTTATTGTTGGATGATTTTGGTGTTTAAGCCCCATTCTCTTGTGCATGCACGTAAAGTTGGAAACTTTACGTGTAAAACCAGCCCTAGAAGCCCAGATCTATGAATTGGATGCACTGAAATCAACTAGAATCGACTGTATAGTAATGGCATGCAGGAGACTCGGCGAGTCCACGCCGTGACTCGGCGAGTCCAAGGCAATCTTCTTGCCTCAATAACAGACTCGACGAGTTGTTCATACAACTCGGCGAGTCACAGACATGACGTGTTCATATGATGAAGGAGAACTCGACGAGTTGTTCATACAACTCGGCGAGTCGGATGAAGTTAGACTCGATGTTAGTATCGAAGAAGAACTCGTCGAGTCTTTGCCAAACTCGACGAGTAGAAGCGAGTAGAGGACTAGAGATGATGATAGGGACTCGGCGAGTTGGCGGCCCAACTCGGCGAGTCCGGTCAACTGAAAGTTGACTTTGACCAGGAAGTTGACTTTGACCAGGATGTTGACTTTGACCAGGGGTAGAATAGTCATTTTACCCTGAGATTAGTTATCATTATTTGATTTAGTGTTTATGAGATTTGTAGCCGGGGAGTTCCGGAGCAGCAGTCAAACAGTTTCAGATTTAGCATCTCAGCAGCCAGCGTTAAGAGGTGAGTTTTCCTTCCAGTAGGAACGGGTCTACAACCACAATGTCGGCCCGTTTAGTTAGCAGTAATTCCGGATTTCGAGTAGTTCAGTGTGCTTGATGTCTTCGTGACTCAAGCATGTATTTGTGTTATGTGTTCTGGACTTCGGTCTGATGTAGTATGCAGTATATGTGTTTATGCTAGTAGTTATGATTATGCTATGCTATGTTCAGTTAGTCCCGGACTTCGGTCCGATGCAGTTTCCGGACTTCGGTCCGATGCAGAGGGCAAGGCCCTGGTTAGTTCCGGACTTCGGTCCGATGCAGTTTCCGGACTTCGGTCCGATGCAGTGGGCAAGGCCCAGTAGTTGCTTTATATGTTATTGTATGGTATGTGGTGGTTTGAGGGAGCTCACTAAGCTTTGTGCTTACAGTTTCAGTTTTGGTTTCAGGTACTTCCGCTAGCAAGGGGAAGAGCTCGGGATGATGGCATGGCACACACCACAGTTACAGTTTAGCCTGGGAGATTGACTCTGATATTTTGATATGATCTTGATACTAGTTTTGATTTGATAATTTATTATGACATTTGAGATACACAATTCATGGTTTTTATCTTTTGATATTTGATATTATGGTTTAGTAATGTTTTCAAAACAAAAAATTTTGGGTTGCATTTTTGGGATGTTTCACCCGCGTACTCACTGGATTTGGGTTTTTCGTCATTTGGGCCTCGGGTTGGTCCATTCCATGGACTTTGCTATTTTGGGTCATAGTGGGCCATCAGAAATCAGTTATTTTGGGATAAGAATATGTTTGGGCTTAAGGGAAGGCCCATTTGAGGAGTTGGGCCCAATTTAGAAAATTGGGCCATTGGTGGGCCATTAATGGGCTTGGAAGGGCTATCTAGAATTGGGCCTTTCATATTATTGGTTTGGGCCTATGTCATGGACTAGATTAGATCAGGGGGTAAATGGTCATTTTACCCTAAGAAGGATTATTGGGTTTTGACTAAGTTTTATTTTGTAATGATAGCTCGGGAAGTAGTCAGAGCAGTCGCTTGAGATTTCGTACCGAGAGATTTTGCATTCAGCTTTGCGAGGTGAGTTTCCTCTTGGTTTGAACGGGTCGAAGGCACCAATGTCTGCCCGTGTATGTTATGTGTGCTGATTCGTAGCTAAGTTTGGTCAGGGTCCGTATCTTAGCAATATTTGAGTATGGATATGGAATAGATTGGTAGATTGGTTATACTTGTTGTTTGTGTGATACTTGTATGTGCTTCTTAGTTAGCTGAGTGTGGACGGGGGCCCAAATCTCACTAGTAGTTGAGTGTTGGCGGGGCTCGTATCTCCTAGTTAGTCGAGGGTGGGCGGGGCCCGTATCTCTTAGATAGCCGAGTGTGGGCGGGGCCCGTATCTCCTAGATAGTTTAGTGTGGGCTAGGCTCGTATCTCATTGAGCGTGGGCGGGGCCCGTATTGTATATGGTGGGCCCGTTAGCGAGTGTGGGCGAGACCTGTATCTCCTTGAGTGTGGGTGGAGCCCGTATCTCCTAGTTGCATGTTATGTGTATGGTATGTAGTAGTTTGGGGAGACTCACTAAGCTTCGTGCTTACAGTTTTCAGTTTTGGTTTCAGGTACTTCTGGTAGCAAAGGGAAGAGCTCGGGATGACTGCATTGCACTCACCATGATGTTTTTAGCCTGGGATGTTTACTCTGATATATTTGACAGATGTTTTGATATGGATACTTTGATTGTGATGTTTTGGATACTTTGACTTATGATTTTGACGGATGTCTTGATAACTATGGTTTTATTTAATAATTAAAATGAAATTTTTGGTCATGATTTTTGGGATGTTACAATTAAAAATAACTAAATCGGTCATCTGAATCAAAGTAAATGTCTATTTTACCCTTTTATCCGTTAGAAAAAAAGGAACTTGTTTATTTAAGAACTGTTATAAATAAAGATACAAATTCAATTATATAACATCATTAAATGATTAATAATTTAAATTAAATAACAATATTAGTCTAAACATCATTTATTGGGGTTCCAAGCTTCACATTTAATGTAAAGGTTCGTTAAATCTAATTACTTCCTTCCAATTTTATAATTTTGTTTGATTTACCTAATCAAATGGTAAATCGGTTATTATTTTGTAATTTTATAGAAATGCCACCCTTTGGAGATGTTTGACAGGTAATTTCTTCTCAAAACATCCTCTAATAGTTCTGCCATTACTGATAAGCTAGTATGTTTATTCACTGTACATATTTGCATTTTTTTTTTCATGTAGGATTTTTTTTATTATTTTTGACAACATGGTGATTTTTTCATTGTTAACGTAAAGATGATGATAAGGAAGAAAGGTGGAAAGAGAGAAGATGAAAGCTTTAAATTATGGGGATCCTCATGTAGATACATTCATCTTGTGGCATTTTCAGCATAAACTTCACCATCATGTTCATTAGTGTTGTTTTTTCATTCTCATCTTCACCACCATAATAGTATATATAAATACGATTTTTAAACATGGACCATTTATGTGATCTTACAGGCACCCATTTCAGTTCACATATTTTTTTGGTTATTTGTCACCTGTATGGTCTTTTTGAATGAAATGGCAACGTACTTTGTTTTTGTATTTTGGTTTTTCCATGAAATGGCAATGTAGTTTCATTGTTTTAGAATTTGTCACATGGTTATTGTTTTGGTAATCAAAATAATCATTAATATCAAAAATTTGCAATGAGTTATTTTTATATACATTAGATGTTTGTTCGTAAGTCTATGATCGTTATTTTTAATTAATATTCAAACGGTTACATAAAATGGATGTTTTTTTTTATCAATCCTATAAGAATTGTTATAATGGTATAAAAAAGCACAAAAAAAGTTTGTTTTAAGAACTTCAAAATTTTATCTTTTTGCTATATCTTTTATTTGTGGTTCCTACGGGTTGTAACCTAGTATGAAAATAAATTCTTCCTCCTCAAATTGAGTTGAAATTATCCTCGAATTGAGTTGAAATTAAACAAGTGAAGTGAATATAAACGGGTCTTCGTGAGTCAAATTGCCACAAAAAGTGCTTCCATTTGGTTGGATGAAAATGGTGGGCTCGATGCTTCTTGCGAAAAACTATGATAGGTTTTAGAACGAAAGTGGGTAGTAAACATGTACGTATCAGGCTAAAGGTTTAGGTCAATTTGGTCAAATCATTGTATGTCACTCGATTTTTTTTATAAGTCATAATGATTTTAAAATATAGAAATGTATTATAAAATTTAAAAAACAAAAAGATATTTGAAAAAATACGATGTTTTTAATACTTAAAACCATAATACATTTTTAAGCTAGGCAAAACCACATATACAAAATTCACCCTATAAAAAGAGCAGAACGTCAGATTGTTGAATTATGTGAAATTACATTCTCCATAAGTATATGAAAAACGATCTTTCAACTTCTCATACAACATACAATCCATAGAAATAACTACATTAAAATCACATACATACGTTTCGGATTTGATTCCTGATAAGCAATTGGATATCCCTAAAAATCCCACAACTCTCGTCTGATTGTTGTGAGAGAAAAATCATGGTGGGAAACATGTGACTTTTGCATATTCAACAAAATTCCATCCACAACACATCACAAAAGAAAAACTAGATAGAAATATAAACTGAAATACAAATGACAGTAAAGTAAAAACCAAAACATGTGAAAAAAAAGTCTCTACTCTCTATCATAAAGTCAAAGATAAACGACACTATTGTATGCGATCAAACATTGAAACAGTCATCAAAGAAATACCACATGTTTGCATTGAAAAACCCATCCTTTTCCTCTTTATCATTAACAGCATATCTCCCGTATAGTGAATGAATATCATCCCACATCTCTCTAAGTGTAATAGTATTACCATCCATGAAGGTGTTAAGAAAGAATGCATACTTTTCTCCTTTCTCTTCACGTGACACAAATTTCATTTCGCCAAAATCCAATTCATGAATCCTGAATGGATGTTTTTGAACGCAGATCTATCACACAAAGTCCTTCACCAAACTTGACAAACCTCGGAAATGTGAAATCTTGCTTCTTAAAATTCTCGGTTTTGAGTAAAATCAGTTTAGGCTTTGGATAGAGTTCCATTTCACATAGCCTCACTACTTCATCTTCATCTGATCGAGAGTATTTAGAGCTCACTAGAATATATATTTTCCCCTTGAAAGCATGTAAATCAGAGATGTTAAAACGGGTGGCGACTTTCGTCCATTCTCGTTTACCCGCTATACAAAACCATATTTCTTGATGGCATATATTCAACACAACAAGCACCCACTCGGACATTGAAGGTGAAAAGACAAGAATAGCCCTGAATAAACCAGGGCAACAAAACACACCATAGACAGGGACATGAGGGTAATGAGGGACATCAGGGAAATGAAGTTCATGCCTTGTGATAAGATTCACAAGCCAACAGTCGCATGTGTTCTCATTGAACAAAATCAAGTAACCACCGGTTACCCCTATACACCTCCCCCCATGAGCAAAACAGGGAAGGGTAATTTTGTACTTTCTTCCTTCAAAGTCGTTTAGGTAGTATTCTTTCTCATTAGTGTCAGAAGAGATGGTAGATATGGACATGGGTGGTTTGGACACCATAAAACTCTTCTTGTTATAGACTGCAAATGATCTCCATGACTTGCAAACTCCACTAAATGCAATGAAATCAACGACTCCAAGTCGTGTCATAACTAAAAGAAGAACATCATGAGGAAAATTTGACCAAGATGACACACCACTGTTGTCTCGAGTCTTGATTTTCTTCATTCGAGCACCAGATGCATCATCATGCTTCTTTTTTCTATTCATTCTCCTTCTCTTACTCATCAGAAAATTGAACATTCGAGGCATTGTTATATGCAACTTCCACATAAAATACACAAAAAAAATAGATATTAATTAGAACAGTTTCCAATAGACGCATATACATATGATCTTTTGTTGCATAACTAAACAAAGAAGCAAAACAGACAAGATGCGAAAATTGGTTATGTTGAGAATGTAAAGAAATAGTTCTATCTGGTTTTCGAAACTAGTTCATAAGTTTTTTGTTTGTAGGTAGAAATAGATTGCTAGCTGATTTGAAAAATTATTCTCAATCATCCTAACACAAGTTCATTTCAACCAATAAGGTTTTGGAAAATCAAGGTGACATGGCCCATTTATTATCTGGAAACGTATTCATGGCCTTCTTGTTGCTAAATACTTATCTTACAGACAATTCACCCTAGATCATAGAGCTTATATATACAGATTAGAAATTAGCAGTTGTGGATGAAATGAATGCTGTTAATGAGAATAGTACTTAGAAACTGTAGATGTTACCAGCATACCAAATTGAATCAAAGCATAGAAAATCTAACAAAGTATCAGAAACTAAATACTCATCTTACAGACAATTCACCCTAGATCACTACGATTTCCTGAGGACTTTCAAGACAAACAAAATCGTCTCATTCAAGACGAACAAACGAGGATCATAAACTAACACTGTGAAGCATTTACTACTTGTACGGTACAATATACAATCAAGCATCAGCGATACTATAGAAGAAAGAAAGAACGAACCAACTATCGGTAAGAAATAAATACTTACTTTACAGCTTCTATTGTTCGTGTTTTTGATATCGATCTTCAAAACAGAGATAATAGGAAGAAGAAGAAGAAGAAGAAGAAGAAGCAAGGGTTTCGTCGCAAGAGAGGAGAAAAAGGAACGCAAGGGTTTTTTCGTTTCCACTACCTTCTTCAGAAGAGATGGATTCGCCGGAAGAGAACGATCGCGGTGTTGTTTTTTTCGCTGTTGTCGTCGGAAGAGGGCGATTCGCCGGAGATACCAGGAGAGAGCGATTCCACAAACACTACAGACCTTCACTGCCTTTGGCCGGCATTCCACCACCGGTGTGAGTTGGATACAGAAGAGAGGAGAGAGGGACAAATGCTGGAACCCTAGATCGTGACTCAATAGAGAGGAGAGTGACGCTTGTGTTGGTGTTGGTGTTGGTGGTATGATTTTTGATCTGAAGAAACGGTTGTTAACTAAAAAATATTCCAGACATGTTGTATGTAAAATGGTCACGTTAAAAGGTAATATTGAATTTATAAATTTATATTAAAAAATATATAAATGACATTTTAAACTAAAACTTAAAAGTTTATATGTTCCGATGATGATATTTGCCCTTTATGTATTGCTATTGTTTGAAGGATTACTTTGAAGACTATAATTTTTATTATTTTTAATTTTGATGTTTAAATATTTATGTAATTCTTAGCTGAAGCTATATTTATTTTAATGTATTTCTAAGTTCAAAGAATGTTATTATTTATTACAAGAAATATCACGATTAAATTTGAGTTTAAAAATTATGTTTTTCATAGGTTAAACTGGAAACTGGTTTTAATCGAAACCCACCCAAATATAAAAATAGTTTAAAAATATGATTATTGTTATGTTCGGCAAAAATAGTTGATATCGGGTAGCTTGTAGCGGATAGCTTCTAGCTTGTAGCGTTTTGTTAAACGCTACGCAAAATAGCATTTGGATTTGGAGCGTTTTATTTAAACTAAAATCTAGAAGTTTGTAGTGTCAAACGAGTCTTTCTGTTCAAAACGGAGCGTTTTGTCAAACGCTAGAAGCTCTCAAACGCTCCTAAACGTTCCGTGCCGAACACGCCCTATATATTCAATATAAAAAACTTGCCCAAAACATGTTAGGTTAAAATCGAAACCAATATGAAAATGGTTAAAACCCCAATGGGCTTTTTTATTAAAAAAAAAAAAAAAAAAAAAAAAAAAAAAAAAAAAAAAAAAAACTAGTTTTTGATAAAACTGACTCATGTGCACCTCTAACCCAAACCTAATGGAACGAAAATCAACTTTATTTATAGTTAATTTTTATATTTTTATATAATATTATAATAGCATTGAATACCATGATGAACATAAATTTTGATCCTGCAATGTTGTTGTTAATTGGTATAATGGAATCACAATCAACCAATGGTGAAAAAAAGTTGATGGCAAAGAATGAATCTGACAGCTCATATGAATGTGAAAGAAACACTCTCGTTTGTCGGAGAACCCTATTGCCTCTTATCATGACCACATTTATGAACCTCGCCCACATAACATACACCACAAATACAACAATATCAAACTTTATACATTGATAACTCCCACTTTTGAACAACAAAACGAGTAGAAATTCAAACTCTATATTCGAATTGCACAAAAGAACGAACAATATTAAGCCATGGACCATTAAAACCCATCATTCGGCAAAATTACCAAGTTTAACGCAAATGGCATTGATAACATGAACCAATAACTCATGATCATCTTCAAGAAACCTTTATCGCCATTTATAAGAAGACAAATTGCCCACTCCAAGACCTTCATGTTTTTTCTAGACATCATTTTTTCCGATTAACCAATGCTATCTTTCTTTCTCCCAACTCTCCACCCTAAAAAAAACGGATACGTAAAGACTCCAATACATTTAGGATTGTGTTTGGAACCTTAAACATGGACATTAGTAAGGTTGTAAAAATCGATCGGCGGTCAACTGGCGATAAGCGATTAATCAGACTCGGCGGGGATTAATCGGCGATTAATCGGAGACCCTAAATTATTAATAAAATTATTAAAAAATTAATATTTCCTAAAAAATTAAGTATTTGAAAATTTTAAATTTTAAAATTTTGGTGTAATATTTGAAAATTATTTTTTTTTTGAATTTTTTAAATATTTCCTGCCTATGACCGCCGAGGACCGCCAAGGCCGCCAAGCCCGAGTTTGACCGATTTTGACCAATTTCCGCCAAACATCCTTATCGTAATCGGTTCGAGGCAACCAAGCGATTAATCGGCCGCCTAGGCCGATTTCTACAACACTGGACATTAGTATATACCTAGTCTTCCGAAAACCAACTTAAGAATGGTTAATCTACCATTGATTGATAAGATCTTAGCCTTCCAATTACAAAGATCATTGATAAATTTATTGATAATCTCTTTCCAACCGTGAGTGCGAGACATACCGAAAACCCAAGTTAAATAAAATGTAACTGATTTGGCAAGCAACCAATGATGGCCCCAGCATCTACAACCTCTTTATACCTAACACCCATGCCAACTAATTTACTTTTCATTCAATTAACTTTTAAGATCAAAATCCGAAAAGAAACATTTATGAATTTGCACCATACGTCTCATATTGTCAAAAGACCAATCACAAAGAAGCATGACGTCATTTGCGAAATGTGAAACCTCCAAGGTTGTGATTCACCTTACTTACAGAAATTATTATTGTTTTACCTTTCAAATTATAGAAACCATATCTACTTAGGGTATTAGGTGTACTCAGTGTCACAAATGTGTTCCATCTTTCACCACACATATTCAACAAGGGTGTATTCACCACTCACTTGTTTTTTAATTTATTTCAGTGGAGAAAGGGGGAGAAGAGCAAGAGGAGAGTAAAAAAAAAAAAAAAAAAAAGGTGTGGCGACCCTTAACTCCTTAAGATAGGGAGGGAAGGAGGGATACTCGTGTTGGCAAATGGACATGGTGTGTGGGAGGTACATTGGTGTCGGGATAATTTTATAGGCTCAAAAAGTTAACTCCTGATTGGCCTACCATTTGCAATATCCATTTAAGAGGATCCTCATTTTGCAGGCCGATTTCTCAAAATGTGATGTTTAGCATTTCATTGGACGCCCACCATTCAAAGTGGGTTCATTGCAAAATAAATGGTTATTTATGGAATGGGGTTAATTTTTGGGTATTATTTGTCAAATGATTAAGAAATGTGTATATTTTTTTCATTTTCTCTCGATTAAAAAAATGATATATAATTAATATAGTAATAAAAAAGATCTACGTATTTTTCATAGACATTGGCTGACTAGATTCATAAAATTCTGCACAGAAAATCAAAATAATAATTTAAAACCCGATGTCACCCTTTTTAATCCGACTAGAAATGGGGCAATGACGTAAAATGGCTAGGCTATAACTCGAGTAAAAAAAATGTTTAAAAGGCCATTTAAGAAAAATACATTTGGCCCACATAAACCCAAAAACAGGTTATGAATCACCTTCATGTTTTCAAACTCTAGATGTCCCAAGCTTTCGTTCAAACAAACGTTGCTGGAGATAAAACTCGAGAGCACTAGCCTCGATCAATGCTATGTATTCATGACTGTTGTATACAAATTGCATCCGAATTTTAGGGGTTCAAAGCAGCTTAGACTACTAGTTGTGGGCAACATTTATTACATGTAACCACACCCAAGGTGTTCACCTCATCATCCTAATCACAATTTGGTGTTATAACACCCATAAGCAACATCAAATAACATAGGATAACACCTACTATTTTCTATTTATTTTTATTTTTTTTATTTTTTTTTGATGCTTTTAATTTCTATTATTCTAATTTGTTTTATTTTTTTATTTAGTTCATATATTTCTTGTTTTTTTATTTATGTCATATATCTATAAAAAAAACATATAAATTAATAAAACATAATTTCATTAAATAGTAAAACCTATTGGAGTGGATGTGTTTGTGTTTGAAAGAAGAGTATTCGGGTTTTGATCCATAATTGGTTGATTTTTGTGTTTGTGTTTTGAATGATTAAGAGAAATAGAGATAGAAATAGATGTGTAGTAAAAAGAATGGGGTATATATATATATACATATTATATGTAATGTAAAAAAATTTAATTAGTAAATTTTTTTTTATTGAAGTTACCGTTTTTAAAAGGTAAAAAGCTTGCAACGTTCGGATTTATACGCGTTACGACCCGTTACCACAATAATGAATGATAACATAACGCGTAATAACGGGAGGGTGGGGCCAGGCCCGGTCCTAAGGGTGTGCAGGGTGTGCACCCTCACAAGGCCCCGAAAAAAATAAGGCCCGAGTTTTAGACAAATTATATAGTAAATACGTTAATATATATTCCGTTACGCAAACTAGTTCAAAACGTCTTGTGGTTCAACTGGCAAGCAGCGTTGCCTTTAATCCCAGCTTTTAGAAATGAGGCTATGTTTGATCCCTGTTATGAGCAGCTATTTTTTTTTCATAGTAATCGTTCTTTATTACTTATTAGTGGTAACTAAATTTCATATATTTCCTTTTACAGTTTTACACGGTGAAGGTTTAATTTTTGTTAACCAACACCTTCAATCCTTTTTTTCTGTTAATCGGTTTTTTTTTCTTACCCCATCTTCAAAGTGATTTATTTATTAGTTTTTTTTTATTTTCATTACCACTTTTCTTTATTAGTTCGTTTTTTTATTCCCTGTTGTAATTGTTTTCTTTTATTTTTTTCTAATTGTCCTCACTAACCTTAATCGATCAAATTTTCAATTAATCAGCTTCCTTTTGCTTTTCAACTTTGTCCTCACCATTTTATTCGATTAGAACATATTATTAGTATTAACGAATTATATATATATATATATATATATATATATATATATATATATATATATATATATATATATATTAGGGCCCATTTTTATTTTTCAAAATCAAAGGACCGGCCCTGGGCAGGGCGGTGTTCGCCCGTTATGGCGTCGTTATGGCGATGTCACATCGGATAACGCCATAAGGGCGTTGCCCATACCCATCCGTCTTAACTCTCTCAGAATTCCAACTCAATGCTCAACAATAGCACCAAACATTAGTAACAGAATTAAACATTAACCAGAAGTTTCATGAGGGTTCTCAAAAGCCTTTACAATCATGTTCTAATTAGATAGGTCTCTATTATAAAGTCAAATATAAACATGTTAACAATTCATCACTCATCTATGAGATCAACATTCAAACAGTCATCCAAGAAATACCACATGCTTGCATGAAACAGCCCGACTCTTCCCTTTTTATCATTAACATCATATCTCTCGTATTATGAATAAATGTAAGCCCACACCTCTCGTAGTGTAAAAGTTTCACAAGAATTGAAGTCGTTACAAAAGAATGCATATTTTTCTCGTGTCTTTTCACGTGACACAAATTTCATTTTGCCAAAATCCAATTCATGAATATTGTATGGATGTTTTGAACACCGATCTATCACATAAAGGTTTTCACCAAAATCGACGAACCCCGAATTTCTGAATTGTGGCTTCCAAAAATTCTCGGTTTCAAGTAACACCAGTTTAGGCTCTGGATAGAGTCTCATTTCACATACCCCCCCCCCCCCCTTCATGTGATCGATAATTAGAGTGTATTGTATATATCTTCCTCTTGAAAGCAAGTAAATCACAGATTTCGAAACGGTGGGAGATTTTGGTCCATTCTTGTTTACCCGCTATAGAAAACCATAGTCTATAATAGCATTTATTCAACACAACAAGCACCCACCCAGACATTGAATGTGAAAAGACAAGGATAGCCCTGAAATATCCAGGGCAACAAAAGACATCATGGGGGACATTAGGGAAATGAATTTCATGCCTTTTAATAAGATTCACAAGCCAGCAGTCGTAGGTTTTCTGATTGAACAAAATCAAGTAGCCACCAGTTACACCAATACACCTCCTGCCAACAGCAAAATGGGGAAGGGTGATTTTGAACTTTCTTCCTTCAAAGTCGTTTATGTAGTATTGTGTCTCATTAGCATCAATATGAAAGATTGATATTGACATAGGTGGTTTGGACACTATAAACTTGTTCCTATTAGAAAGAGCAAATGATCTCCATGACTTGCAAGCTCCACTGAATGCAAGAATATCAACGACTCCAAGTCGCATCATAACTAAAAGAAGGACATCATGAGGAAGATATGACCAAGGTGTCACACCACTCTTGTCACAAGTCTTGATCCTGTTCGTACCAGATGCCTCATCATACTTTTTCTTTCTATTCATACTCCTTGTCTTACCCATTCCTATATTTACAAAACAAAATTACACAATATTCCAGGCATTAGTATTGTATATATAATCATGAGATAGCTCTATATAACAATTGAAATAGATTTAAATTAGCTTCTGAAAGAGGTTGATAATTAGTTAAACTTTTGAAATCTGATCTGGCAAAAGTAATAAGTCATATATGGTCATATGGGTTGACATTATGGATGCTCTAAGAATAATACACAACAAAAAGTTAATGGTTATAAATGATGAAACCAAAATTTACATATCGCCATATTTATGATGCATTAACCTACAAATCCTCTAGAAAATAAATAAATAAATATATATATATATATATATATATATATATATATATATATATATATATATATAGATATAACTTTAGGAATAATTTACCTCATTGAAACTGATAAATCAAGAACTAGAACAGATGGTTTAAGAACTAACAACTAATCACGACATTCAAACAAGATACATTCAAGACATTCAAGAGAAACAAAGTCGTCTCATTGGAGACGAACAAACGATGCTCAGAGCATCCACAATGCAAGTAGTATATGAGTTGAATAAGGTGGTGATTAGGATTGAATAAGAGTTGAATGGAGTATGGGTGATGACATGTAGTAGAGTCGAATGGAGGAATTCAATGATCATTGAATGGTTCAATAGAAGGAATAAAATGGTGATTAGGATTGAATAGGTGTTTAATGGGTTGTGGGTGGTGTTATATAGATGTTTAATGGATGATGTGGCAATCCATTGAACTCTATAGAGTTCAATGGATTGTGGATGCCCTCATAAATTACCACTGCAAAGCATTTAGGACTTGTACTATATAATATACACATCAGAGATCGGATTACTATTTTCGTCAATATACAATCAGGCATCAGCGATACCATACAAGGAAGAAAAAGAACGAACCAACTATCAGTAAGAAATAAATACTTAATTACTTTACCACTTCTATTATTCGTGTTGTTGATGTCGATCTTAAAAACAGAGATAACAGGAAGAAGAAGCAAGGGTTTCGTCGGCAGAGTGGAGGAAAAGGAACGCAAGGTTTTTTTATAGTGAAGTAAAGGACAGGTATCTACTACCGAGTAGGGAAACATTCGGCGAACGTTTTCTTTTATAGTGAACGCTTTTTTTTTATAGTGAAGTGAACGTTCAGCGATTCCTTCGCGGGATAGGGTCATATCGAAAAGAAGGTCACGAGTCACGACTCATTACAAGTATTAGTTTCTTTGAATGATTACTTGGACGGCGTTGAGGTCATCCACAATGGGAGTTGTATGAGGGTTTAATAGAATAAATATGAATATAATAAAGAGGAGAGAGAGTGTGGAATTGAATGGCCATGCAACGGTTCAATGGAATTGTAATGGAAATTTATGAATTTTTTAAGAATTTAAATGAATGTATACATTCTTTTTCCTACTTGGCATTTCATACAACTCTCCATGGGTTTAATCCATTAGAGATGACCTGAGAGAATACAAAAGTGTATATCACTCGAATGACCGCTTTTACCAACCATATAGAAGAGGTGGCACAACACATATCACCTCCAATGATCAAAGTAGACGATAGTGAATTTGAAGGATTGGACCTCTAGTTGTTCGATTTCATAAAGACTACCATTTTGAAGACTATAATTGCTATTATTTTAAATTTCGACGCTTATGTTTGTAACGTCTCAAATTTCAAACCAATTTTTCTTTTTAAAACCATAAGTAAAACATCCAAAAAAACCATTTTACATAAGAACAAAAGTACCAATTATTTCACCACCACAAAATCATGTCACAAAAACTGTATCATAATCATCATAAAAATAGCGGAAGTCTAAAACATAAATCAATCATCGAAACCTACGCAAGTACAATCAAATTGGGCCTTTCGCCATGCCTGAAGAACAACCTGAAAGACATTTAACTTGAGAGAGTAAGCACAAAGCTTAGTGATTTCACCAAAATATCATATATTACATCACATATACAATGCATACATACAAATGGCTCATAGTCAACACATTGTGATGGAATCCTAAATCACATGAGTTTTGAATTCTGATCATTATTTGGTGATGATCAAAGGCAATTTTTTGTTTGAATTTAATAGTTACTTTTTTGTGGTTGACAAATCGACAATGAGAGGGTCTATGCACTGGTGCTGTTATTTTGTTAAGTATTAGAGGAATGAATTCACATGTGTTTGTCTTTAGTGGAGACCTTTTCTTTGGTTGCCTTCTTCCACCTATTATCTTTATTGTTAGGTATGTTTTACTCTTTAAAAACTTATATATGTTTATTATCTGTTTGCTTTCAGTGTTTCTATTTTCTTTGTAATGAAAAATCAACAGGTTCAGTAAAGACTAAAGAATAAACAATTTTTTTTTTGCAATTTCATGACCATTATGCTATATGTTGCTGTTGTTGTACTGCAATATCCTTCGGCATCAGCTGATATGGGTAGAAACTCAACATCTTCACTCTAATACAATCTCCATTTCATTTTCTTTATCATATGATAGAGTTTTGTGTAACTTCTTTTACAGAGACTATAAACATTTTCAAAAGAAGAATGTTGGCTCTCTTGACCTAAGAGATTTTCTTGATATTATTTACTCCTTATTTTTTTTCAAATATTTCCAACGTTTTTCCTTCCATCCATAGGTGCAATCTTTTCTGCAACAGATTCTATCTGCACTTTACAAGTCAAAGAAGATCATTAAGATTTTATATAATCATAATTAGAGTATTAGACCCTGTTTGTTTATGACTTTATATAACTAAGGGCATGTTTCTTTACTTATTATATCATGTATAGATAAACTAGTAAAAAGATAAATGATGTATCCAAACAAAGGGTTGATTAAATAAAGATTAAAAATAACTAAACCAGTCATCTGAATCAAAGTAAATGGCTATATTTCCATTTTATCCGTTGCAAAAAAAGAAACCTGTTTATTTAAGAACTGTTATAAATAATGATATAAATTTAATTATATAACATCATTAAATGATTAATAATTTAAATTAAACAACAATATTAGTCTAAACATCATTTATTGGGGTTCCAAGTAGAGCTGACAAAAACTGACCCAACCCGAACCCAACCCAAAATTAGCAGGTTGGGTTGAGATTTTCAACCCATTTATGTTAAATGGGTCAACCCGTCTAACCCATTTAATTAAATAGGTTGGGTCGGGTAACAACTATCAACCCGTTTTCAACCCACCAACCCATTTAACTTTAATTTATATTAAATTTAATAATTATTAAAATATTATCATGTATTAATCTACGTATTAGTTTATAAATTACAATGTTTGTATTATTATTTATGTTTTAAAAAAATAGAATCCTAATTTCTACCTTTTTGCTTGGCGCCGACAACACTAATCACTCTAAAAAATCTCTTAGAAATTACATATCTTTAATGTTATTTGAATAATTTCTTTGTATATGTGAATTGTGATTGTGCTTTTGTCATACATTGAAATTTTATTTAAGTCTATAACTAATTTAAGTGGTGTAATCTTTAGTTAATTTATTATTCTTTTTATTTTAAATGGGTCAACCCAAATTTAACCAATTTATTTAATCGGTTGGTTTGGAAATTACATAAACGGGTCAACCCGGTGACAACCCATTTATCTAAAAGGTTGGGTTGGGTTGGAAATATCAACCCATTTAAATAAACAGGTTGGGTTGGGTTGAAATTTTCAACCCAATTAATAAATGGATTGAACCCGAACCCAACCCAGGTCGACCCATTGCCACCTCTAGTTCCAAGCTTCACATTTAATGTAAAGGTTCGTTAAATCTAATTACTTCCTTCCAATTTTATAATTTTGTTTGATTTACCTAATCAAATGGTAAATCGGTTATTATTTTGTAATTTTATAGAAATGCCACCCTTTGGAGATGCTTGATAGGTAATTTCTTCCCAAAACATCCTCTAATATTTCTGCAATTATTGATAAGCTAATATGTTCATTCACTGTACATATTTGCATTTTTTTCATGTAGAATTTTTTTATTATTGCTGACGACATGATGATTTTTTCATTGTTAACGTAAAGATGATGATAAGGAAGAAAGGTGGAAAGAGAGAAGATGAAAGCTTTAAATTATGGGGATCCTCATGTAGATACATTCATCTTGTGGCATTTTCAGCATAAACTTGACCATCATGTTCATTAGCCTTGTTCTTTCATTCTCATCTTCACCACCATAACCATTTATGTGATCTTACATGCACCCATTTGTGTTCACATATATTTTTTTTTGGTTATTTGTCACCTGTATGGTCTTTTTGAATGAAATGGCAACGTACTTTGATTTTGTTTTTTGGTTTTTTCCATGAAATGGCAATGTAGTTTCATTGTTTTAGAATTTGTCACCTGGTTATTGTTTTGGTAATCAAAATAATCATTAATATCAAAATTTTGCAATGAGTTATTTTTATATACATTAGATGTTTGTTCGTAAGTCTATGATCATTATTTTTTTTTTAATATTTAAACGGTTACATAAAATGGATGTTTTTTTATCAATCCTATAAGAATTGTTATAATGGTACAAAAAAAATTGTTTTAAGAACTTTAAAAAATTTATCTTTTTGCTATATCTTTTATCTATAGTTCCCACGGGTGATAACCTAATGTGGAAATAAATTCATCCTTCTCAAATTAAAATTGAAATTAAAACAAGTGAAGTGAATATAAGCGGGTCTTCGTGAGTCAAATTGCCGCTTCCATTTGGTTGGATGAAAATGGGTAGTGGGCTCGATGCTTCTTGCAAAAAACAATGATGGTTTTAGAACGAAAGTGGGTAGTAAACATGTACGTGATCAGGCTAAAGGTTTAGGTCTATTTGGTCAAATCATTGTATGTCAAAAGTGGTTTTGAAATTTAAGGGCAATCTACTCGATTTTTTTTATAAGTCATAATGATTTTAAAATATATAAATGTATTATAAAATTTAAAAAACAAAAAG